GTCCTGGAAAGAGAGCATTCAAGAGCACAAAATGTTCCCTTGCTTTTGAATTACCCAGGTATAGACCTCCTGGCTAGAAGACCTGAGAGTCCCATCTCTTGATGACCTCAGCCGAAAAGCCTTCCATTTCCTCTAGCTCAGTTTGCAGCTGAATGCGTGCATAATCCTGAACCCTGCCCGTTCACACACAGCAAGAGAGTTTTCCTTTACAGCAGCCCCTCTTGCTCCCCTGCTGAAGAGCTGTTATTAATAATTCTTTCTCCTCTACCTGGGGTTAAAACCCTTGCCAAGGACTAAATGGCCTTTCAAATCCTGCCCTGCCTATTCCTGGGCTCCTGTCTTTCTTTTGAGCTCCTCTCCAGTATTCTCAAACCTATCAAAACTGGATTCAGTCTCCATTGTACCTATCAAAACTGGATTCAGTCTCCATTGTACCTCGCCCGCATCTTCCCATGGTGGCACTCAGAGAGGACTTCCCCGTGGTAGCCCTGTGGCACTGTCCAACACCGCCTTATTTTCGTTTATTGTCTGTGTGCACCAAGGCTTGCGGGGTGGGAGCGAGAACAGCCAGATCAGACGTGGGGAGGCTGGGGAGGCCACATGCATCGTCCGAGTTTTCGGGCATGTTGCTAGAAATCATGAACATTGCTCATCTCCCGCCACATGCGCACACGAGACGACCCTGGGGCCTCCTCGAACCGCGTCTGGACGCACTGGTACCTGCTCAGCCTTCGCAGGATTGAGCGGGAACCCACGCCCGAGCAGCGGCCCGGCACGCACCAGCGGCTCATCCCAGGCTCACGAGAGGCGCGAGCCCTCGTGCCAGGGCCCCAGGGCGTTCAGCGGCGGCAGACCCTGGGGCGGGCAGCGCGGAGGCGGGGTGCGAGATCGTCAGGCAAAAGCGGGGTACGGGACTGAAACACCCGCACGGGGACCCCGCGCGGTCCGGGGCCCCAGGCCCGACGGCGGCAGGTAAGGAGAAGCGGAGGCACACACGCTTTGGGCCGCCCAAGGCGCCGTGGGGGGTGGTTTCGGGCACGGGAGGTCAGCACCCAGGGGAGGCTCGCCGGTCTGTGGCTGAGCGCTCCGGCAGGCTCTGGGGACAGAGAGAAGGCAGCCGGCGAGGGACAGGGAGCGCCTGAAGGCCTCGCCTGTCCTTTCCGGCCGGCCAGGACAGCGCTGGGAAAAGACTAGGGGATAGGGGTGGGAAGACGTCTACCTCGCCACAACCCAGAGCTCGGGACTACCACACGCTCCCCACAGGGTACAGACTACCGCCATTCCCCTCCCCCACTCTGGCGGGTAGGGCTAGAGAGCCGTTGGAAGGAAGACGCATGCGCATGAAACTAAATTGTAAACCGCTGAGGCTCGTAGTTCGCTATTCGCGGGAAGACGCAGGCGCAAAAAGACTAGGCGGGTTTATAGCTGTGGGCAATTGAGCCCAGGACGCATGCGCGTGATAATCTGACTTCGGGCGGTCGGCCCGCTCTTGAAACTACGCATGCGCTCTAGCTATTTGTGACGCAAGGGGGCGGTACGGGCCCCTGGCCGCGCGTGCGCAGAGCTTGCTCCAAGGGCCTTATTTAGGTTGCGCAGGCGCCCGCTGGCCATTTCTTCTCAGCCACGCCGGAGTCTTGTGTCTAGGTGAGTCGTCGGCCGCCCTTGTTTGCAGCCCGGAGAACCCCGCGTAGATGCCGTTTTTGCGAGGGTTGCTGCCCCCAGACTTCTCGTAGAGCTTGCGGGGCCTCGGCGAGCGGAGGGCTGCCACTAACAGCCGCCAAGGGTTCGCCGAATCCTCGCAGCGCCGCCGAGGCCTGCAGGCCGCACCGACCCTATTGTGTGAGGTGTCGGAGGAGGCGGAGCGGAAGCGGCCGCCGCCATTTCCTTGCCTCCGCGCTGGCCCCGGGCCGGGCCCCTCGGTGCGGGCACCGACTCCCGGGGCGCCCAGCGCGGCTTCGGGTGCGGTCTCTGGCCAAGGCGGCGTCGGCTGTTGGCGTCCCCGGGGTTAAGGCGTCCGCGTGGGTTCCGCTCCTGTCGGCGCGCCGTGGGCCGAGGAGCGCCCGGGGCGGAGGGCAGTTCATTGGCATTTCTCAGGTCTGATCCGCGTCCCCGCCTTGCAGTGCGTTTCGACGACAGGACCCTCGGAGAGACGATGATGCTGGGCACCGAAGGCGGGGAGGGGTTCGTGGTGAAGGTCCGGGGCTTGCCCTGGTCTTGCTCGGCGGACGAAGTGCAGCGGTTTTTTTCTGGTGAGTTAGAAGGCGGCGGCGGGAGTTCGAGACCCGGGCCGCGGCGCGGGCGGGCGGCCTGGGCGGGGCGGGCGGGCCCCGGGCGCCCCCTGGCGGGGCGCGGGCGGCAGCGGTCCCCGCGGTGTTGCTCGCGCGCGGCCGGACGCTGTTACGCAATGGAAATCGCGAACGCCCCGCCCGCCCTCCTGCCTCTCGGGAGCGAGCGGCTGATTCGGAGGACTTTCTTTTCCCGGCTCTTCACGCGTTTAAGCACCAGCCCTTCCATGCATGTCTTTTTTCCAAAGGATAAGTTGGGAAAGATGAGATTGCCTTCTTAATTTTGAGGACATTGCCGAGTAGTTAGGCAAATAATAGTAATATTTTGCAGTATTTTAAGGTGCAGCTAGTATTTCCAGTTTTGGTATTTCCTTGATAAGGGGCATTCTGCTTCGGAAGGTAAAATGTCACTTCTTAGTTTCAGACAGTGTAATCAAGATTTGGTAATTGAAGAGTTCTTGCTCATCTAGTTCTTGATCTGGCTCGCTTTACAGTTGAGGACACGGAATCCCAGGGAAGTTTTCTTGCCTATGTAGCGCTTTCTTTTTTGTCCCCAGTATGCAGGTGTCCTGAATAACGTTATCAGAGTGGTGTTGTTCCCATTATTGGCTTAAGATTAGACTGATAACACTGTTAAGAAATTGAGAGGTTTTGTAAAGACATTTGTAGTATTGACTTACTGTCTGAATTTAGCGTTGGTAACGGAAAACGACCTGTAAAACAAGAACCAAGTACACTGGAAGCCACCTTGCAGGGGGCAACACTGGGTTTGGCTTCAGCTGTGCAACTTGGAGCATTTTAGCTTGGTAACACTGACCCCTTTCACAGGTGAGTATTGGGCCTGCAGTTTGGAATTGAGTAAGAAATCTTAATGTGGCTACTGGTAATGTAAAACCAACAAATGTCCCAGACCAAAACTCTTAAAGATTGTTCAGAAAATGCCATAACTTGGTCCAGACTTGGTAACTCTTTGAGACCCTATAAAGGATGTCTAATGGAGACATGCTTAGCAAGGACTTAGAAGTAACTTCGTTAAGAAACTGCTTTGAGTATTGGATTTTCTTGATGGATTGGGAATATATCACTTTGGGACTGGGGTAGTTTGTGAGTGGATGACTGCTTAAATATCGGAGATACTCTAGGAGTTGGCAACAGTGTGGTCATTTTAGGCTTCAGAAGTGATGTACTTTGCCGTGGGGACATGAATAGGCATTCCTCTATCACCCAGAGGTGGTTGTAGGTTTTAAATTCTGTATTAACGGTTGTTTTCTTTCCAGACTGCAAAATTCAAAATGGGGCTCAAGGTATTCGTTTCATCTACACGAGAGAAGGCAGACCGAGTGGCGAGGCTTTTGTTGAACTCGAATCAGAAGATGAAGTCAAATTGGCCCTGAAAAAAGACAGAGAAACTATGGGACACAGATATGTTGAAGGTTTGATATACATTGCCCTAGTAACAGTAAATAAAACATTAAACACATAGAGGTCTTACCCCTTCTGAATTTTAGGTATTTGACCGCATGGAAATGGTCATCTAAGGGAGTTTGTGGCAGCTCTTCCTAGCTTATCTAAAGACCCAGGAAGTCTGAACTTTGTTCTCTAACTTTCCAAAATTGACTAATTCTAAGCACCTCTTTCAGTATTCAAGTCAAACAACGTTGAAATGGATTGGGTGTTGAAGCATACTGGTCCAAATAGTCCTGACACGGCCAATGATGGCTTTGTACGGCTTAGAGGACTCCCCTTTGGATGTAGCAAGGAAGAAATTGTTCAGTTCTTCTCAGGTATGTAGTCCTGTTTGTTGCTGAGCAGTGAGTTTTGGCTAGCTTCTGCAAGGTGATTTAATAGACTTTACAGTTGAATAGCTTAGGTACTTAAATAGGTTGTAAGTATATGCCAATGAATTAATGTTTTCTTCCTAGAGACCTTCAAATAATTTAAGCCCATCTTAAAGGTGGAAATTAAGTACTTGCAAAATGTTAACTTTGCCTGTATTTAGTATGATAGTTCAGAGTAGATCTTTGAGGATTCTTTTCAACGATATTGCTGTTCAGCAAAGTACTTGAACTTAAAGGTAAGGATCCCTTAACATTAGATTAGTATGAGTCAAGTTGTTGTAATTTTTGGCAAGTTTCTGCTTTAAGAGACAATTATTTGGGCAATGGGACCAGAAACATCTCTAATGGTCTAACTCTTTATGCAAAAAACTACTATACAAGCAACTTGGCTTAGCCAGCCTTATAAAAATTATTAGCGAAAGTCAACGGTAGTTTGCTTTGTAGTCTCAGTATCTGAAGTAGAAAAAGCATTTTGAAATTGTTCTGGGCCTAAAGTATTTGAATGTTTTTATGCTGAAGAGCTGATAAGATTGCATGTTTACCAGAATGTCAGATCGTATATTTTAAATGCTATTAAGAGTTGTGATAAACTGGAATTAAGAGCAAGAAATCCTTTCATGGTTTAGTGTAGTATGTATTAAGATTTTTGACTATTAGATATGTATCAAGTCCTAATATTTTGTCAGAAATTTAGAAATCAAGTCTGTTTTGTTTTTAATCTAAATTGGTGAGAATTGAATGCTGTCTGTCAACGTTAAATATGAACATAATTTCATATCTTCTAGGAAAGTGCTTTAAGTCCTTTTTGTAAGCTTGGGAATGTATCCACGGAAAGGATTTTTCATAGACGGAATTTCCAGAAGTGAATCATACTACTGTTAGAGCATAAGAGTGCATGATTTGTGCTGTGTAGATCAGTTTTGTTGAAAGTTTAGATTGTATGTTTGTCAATATATGATATAAGTAATGTTTAAATTTTATTTAAATGTTTAAATGTGTACATTTTAAAACTTGAAGTTCCAATAACTTAAAGCATTGAAATATAAAATGAGGTACAAGGTGTGTCTTGAATTTAGTAAAACTGTTGCTGTTTAATGCTTGAAACTTACTGTATAATTCTCAACATAATTAAGTTGAATAGATAAGAATGTTCTTAAATTGTTGAATTCTCAATGCATCCTGTGTTCGTTTTTTTAAAATATACTGTACCATGGGGTGTGTTAAGAATTGTCATAATTTGTAATAATGGAACTTCATATTATTGCAATGCATATTTAAAGAGTACTTGTTGAAAGCATACCATTCACCTAAAGTTAAAATTCTGGTTTATTTAAAGCTATAAGAAGAATCATTTCTGGGCTTGTGATGTTAATATTACCCCCCTACTGGGGTTATTTGTCCTTGGGTTGAAGGGTTGGAAATCGTGCCAAATGGGATAACATTGCCGGTGGACTTCCAGGGGAGGAGTACGGGGGAGGCCTTCGTGCAGTTTGCTTCACAGGAAATAGCTGAAAAGGCTCTAAAGAAACACAAGGAAAGAATAGGGCACAGGTGGGGATGGATGGTTGGTTGGATATGTCACTTTTCTTATGGTAAATAATTAAATCCATATTCTCTCTGCTTAAAAGGATGAAACTAATCTATTTCCTAGTCCTAGTTAATTGACATTCTGCCACAATTTTCAGAATTTTCCTATGTCCGAGTCCCATATTGCAATCAAACTAAATTTTAGGTGTTAAAATTGTCCCCAGTTAATTTGGTCTCCTTTACAATTTTGTAAGATTCTTAATTTATTAACCCCAGTCAATGGAGTTGAGAGACTATGGCTTTAAAAAAATTAATGCAAACCTGGCTTTAGCTGTAATAACACCCACCTAGTAAATTAATGTTACCATAAGAAAATGTGATACTTTCTGATCTTGTTTTTAAAGTTGAAATGCAACAAACTTTCTTGCTGTATAAATATTCTGCATATGTATTAATAAGCATAGCTTTCAAGAAATTGTCACAAAAGGTTTTATTCTCTTTGCTTGTGACTATTTTTCATTGAAGCATGCGCTTACCTATGCTGATTCCTACTAAAAGCATAGGCTGGGGTACTTGCTGGCGAAAGGAAATGTGCAGTGTGGGCTGGACTGTCGGCGGAGGCTGGCTTTCTAGCCCACTTGCTGTACATGCTGCCAATGGACTTACGACCTGAAATGTTGAAAGTTGAGTGGAATTCTTTCCCTCCTGAAACGTTCACAGTACTCCTCTCTACCCCTAAGGTTGGGCTCTGCCTCAGAGGAGGAAGTTTTTTTCTGTAAAGTTTACATTAAATCTTACTATTGAGTGAATTTCTGGTCATTGCCTCTGCAAATATAAGAAATCTGGCTTTTAAATATTGGTCAGTTTCATGGCTATGACTAGATTGTTTTCTTGTACAGCTAAATACCTGTATGAAATGAACTAATGTTTTCTCTCCCCTCCCCCTCCCCCCTTGTGAACAATGCTTTAGGTATATCGAGATCTTTAAGAGCAGTCGGGCTGAAGTTAGAACTCACTATGATCCACCACGAAAGCTTATGGCCATGCAGCGGCCAGGTCCCTATGACAGACCTGGGGCTGGCAGAGGGTATAACAGCATTGGCAGAGGAGCTGGCTTTGAGAGGATGAGGCGTGGTGCTTACGGTGGAGGTATGTGAGGGTGCAGAAGGATTGGCAAGTCTGTTCCTTTGTTGTGTGGATATGTGCATTTGATTGGCTGTACTTCTTTATCTTGTAGGCTATGGAGGCTATGACGATTATAATGGCTATAATGATGGCTATGGATTTGGGTCAGATAGATTTGGAAGAGGTAAGGTAAGAATTGAATTTCTCAGCTGCAGGATACTTAACACTCTTGTCCATCTAGACCTCAATTATTGTTTTTCAGGAATGTCTGATCACAGATACGGGGATGGTGGCTCTACTTTCCAGAGCACGACGGGGCACTGTGTACACATGCGTGGATTACCTTACAGAGCTACTGAGAATGACATTTATAATGTAAGTGTAAGGTACATTCGTAAATCATTTCAGTGTGGCTGTAAAAACTTGAGCCTTGTTCTATTTAAGTGGACACCATGTTACAAATTTCCATTTTTCCTAATGGTAGAAAGTTGACTTGGTTCTTTGAAATGCCTTGTGTTTTAGTTTTTTTCACCACTCAACCCTGTGCGAGTACACATTGAAATTGGTCCTGATGGCAGAGTAACTGGTGAAGCAGACGTTGAGTTTGCAACTCATGAAGATGCCGTGGCAGCTATGTCAAAAGACAAAGCAAATATGCGTAAGTGTGACTTAAGCATTTGAGGGCTTTTAACAGGTATTTGTATGACATTTATGCTTGAGTAGAATATTAAAGGATGTATGAGAAATTTCCCGTCTAATAATAGATTAGTTGTTAGATGTGTTGAAAAGTTTGGGTTTTTTAAATTGGTATGCCTCAAAGGGATTTGTGACATATACGTAACTTGGGAAGCATATCTTTAATTGACAGTTGAGATGAATGTTTAAAGGCTAGTACAAGTAAATCACCTTAGAGAAACTGCTAGAATTTTTTTGCCTAAGTATTTGAAGTTCACAGATCTACTTGTTTAAGTAAATGCTTACCTTTTCTTTCACCAACAAACATTTTCAAACTGTTTTTTTCTCATTTCAGAACACAGATATGTAGAACTCTTCTTGAATTCTACAGCAGGAGCAAGCGGTGGTGCTTACGGTAGCCAAATGCTAGGAGGCATGGGTTTGTGTAAATATCACTTTAGTGTCTTTTTTTAAGCTAACCTTGTATGCCTTTTCTCTCATTTCAGAACACAGATATGTAGAACTCTTCTTGAATTCTACAGCAGGAGCAAGCGGTGGTGCTTATGGTAGCCAAATGATGGGAGGCATGGGCTTGTGTAAATATCGTTAGTTTTTTTAAAAACCAAAACATTTATATCTGTATAAGTCAATTGTAAGTTAAGTTAATCTATTTAGTGAGTTTAGAATATGACGATTTAAGTTAGGCAAAGAAAGCAGTTTCTTGATTTGAATGAATTTTGTGTCTGGCTTTCTATTTAAACCATTGTGTTATATAAAAGTTAAGATAATTTGTTAGATTTAAGTGCTTTTGGGGGGAGGGGACTACAGAATGAAACTGGAATGTAAAGTTTAAAATTAGCAGAAACACAGGATTAAAATTTAAATTGGGGCATAATTAGTTTGGCGTAATTAGGTGTCATTGATGCCTGTGTATTGACATACATTGATGCATTTAAGGGGAAAACCCCACTAAATCCATTCCAAGCAGTTGTATAAGGTCTTCAAAATGCCTCTACTTACGGAGTCGTGGATTTAGTCCTGCTGATGTGTATACCGTTAGCCATTTGGTGTATACATATTTACTAGCTCAAATGATGGGTAGAAGGGGGGGAGTCTGTTTCTAGACAATAGGCAGAAGGAGACAGAGGATTGTAGTAATATAAGATCAAGTCTGGAAAATCATAGATATAGAATTACAAGCCCGGTACCACCAGGTACCACATTACATGTGGAGCGAGGTTCTAATGTTCTCTTAACTTAACAGCAAACCAGTCCAGTTATGGTGGCCCAGCCAGCCAGCAGCTGAGTGGTGGTTATGGAGGCGGCTATGGTGGCCAGAGCAGCATGAGTGGATATGGTAAGTATTTTTTTTATATACTTAAAATAGGTTTTAGGCAGGTTTCTTTAGTTGGGAATGTGCAGGCTTTTGGTGAAATTGGGTTATTAAATATATGCTTTCAATCCAAATATAACTATTAATAGCTTAATTTTCAGAAACAATCATTGGGAGGGGGAAGTGTTCTGTGAATTAAAAACTAGTCATTGCAGCTTTGGAATATTGTCGAGCCAGAAAACATCTGCCTCCATGTATTAAAACATTAAATAAAGTAGTTCACTTTTTTGTCTTTTGATTAGTATTAAATCAGTTTTAGATGGAGGGAGAATTTTAAATAGTGGAATGGTGGTTGGGTTCAGGACCGTATTTACTAGTCAGTTAACCTAGGATTGGTTTTATTTATTAACTTTCAGTTGGTCTAAAGAATGGTGATTTTGGTATTATAGTCTTACCCTACAAAATCCTTTTGCAGACCAAGTTTTACAGGAAAACTCCAGTGATTTTCAATCAAACATTGCATAGGTAAATATTTTCTCAAAAAATATAATTTAAATTCCCAATAGCAAATACTGATATGTTGTAATAACACTTTCTATAGCAGTCAATGGCTCTGACTTAACTCCATGGAGGCTGCCATTTTGGGCACAGTGAGTTGCCTTTAGTCCAACTTTGTCTCACTTCCTGCCCACCGCGAATAGGAAAAGCAAGACTTCCCTGTGCTCCCTGTTCCTGTATGCCATTTGAGGGACACATTGTGAATGTTTACATTTTTAAAAATGCCTTGTTTAGCTTAAAACACATGAAGTAATTTTTGCAATTTTTGAAAAACACTAGTTTTCCTTTAAACTTAATTTTTCATGTTGATCCTGAAGAATCCATTTAAATGATAGCACAAGAATCTGGCAAGTTGGTACTGCAGAGACAAGGGGTTAATTGAGACTTGTTTGGAGTCGGGATTCCCCTTTCCCAAACATGCTTCTCGCCACTTGGACAGCAGCCATTTGTACTCGTATACTTTTAAAACTTTTTCTTGGAATGCTATATTTTATTTGACTGATAATCCGATGCTACTCCTAACTTGTCGAATCGATCTCTCTGCAGGTAGCCAAGGAGCAGTGAACAGCAGCTACTACAGTAGTGGAAGCCGTGCATCTGTGGGCGTGAACGGAATGGGAGGGATGTCTGGCATGTCCAGTATGAGTGGTGGATGGGGAATGTAATTGATCCTGATCACTGATTCTTGGTCGACTTTTTTTAAGAAAAACAAAACCAGTTTAACAGTTTTTTGCATTACAAGCTTGTGATTTATGCTTAGTCTACAAGTGGAAATCAGGATTGTTTTAAAGACTTGAGGTTGGGTATTTTTGAACACTCATCTAGGATGTGACAGCAAAGTTGAGTAAAGTATAACTGTTAAACAAGTTCCAGCTTTTCTCAAGTTAGTTATGTATTGTAGGATGTACTTAAGCAGTTAGCGTATTTAGGTTAAAGCAGTTGAGTTACGTTAAATGTTGCTGTTATACCACATGATACTGAACATTGTTTGGATGCATGTTGAAAGACATGCTTTTTTGTAAAACTCAATATAGGAGCTGTGTCTACAATGAAAGTGAAACATTTTGGCATGTTTGTTAATTCTAGTTTCATTTAATAACCTGTAAGGCACGTAAGTTTAAGCTTTTTTTTTTTTTTTTTTAAGTTAATGGGGAAATTTGAGACTCAATACGAATACTTTAGGATTTTGGTCTTGGTGTTTGTATGAAATTCTGAGGCCTTGATTTAAATCTTTCATTGTATTGTGATTTCCTTTTTAGGTATATTGCGCTAAGTGAAACTTGTCAAATAAATCTTCCTTTTAAAAACTGCACTTTGTCTTGTCTGTGCTTCAGTGTCGTGTGGACTGTTTCTTGGTCTCTATTCCTGCCTGGGGCATAGGTCCACATCTCTGGCCGTGCAGAAGGCTCCGCCGTGAGGCTGTTGGGTAGATGTCTTCAGACTTCTCTTCTGTCCAGTGCAACTGAAGGTAAACTTGGCCTTGAGGCCCTCGTGGAAGGGCTACGTGTCGTTTGCTGCACGGAACCTGGTCTGAACTGCTTATAACTCGCGAAGCGCTGCGCAGAGCCCCGGGACAGGCGCCAGTGCATGTCCTGCATGTCTGCAAGGCCTCCCGGCGTGGCTGCGAGGTGCCGGAGGCAAGTGCTGACTGGAAGCTTGAATTTTGTGTATCTAGGGCATGTTCTAGAAGGAGCTTGCTCATACCTGGTTTTCAGGCTTTGTTTTTGCCTCATTCTGAAAAATCCCACTCTGGATCAAAATTCCATTCCATGTAAACCCCCTGAGGCAGAATACCGAGTAACAGTTGGGAGCGGATGTGATTAGTTTAAATCAATTCTTGAATTGCGTATTCCTGTTTTGTTAGGTTGGGACTCCAGTGGCATGCTAAGAAATACTCTCTGTACCCAAACTGCTTTAAAGCTGTCCTTAAAGGGGTAGTCCCTGAATGCCTTCTGGTGGATGCTCACGGGCACTGCCGAGTGCGAACTGCCAGTGCTCATTAACCTTTTAGACTCGGTGGTGTTGAAAGAACATAGAATGTGAGCTGGGATGTAACAGGTTTGTGTCCTTTAAAGCCAAGTGTGTGTAAGTTCTTAACTTCCTGTGATGTGCTTGAAGGTTTTCCCAGGTTCTCGGCTAAGAGTATTGCAGACTGAAAATTACTTGGAACTGGCCATTTCTAAGTGCCCATAGTGGTGGGGCATGGAGGGCTCTGCAGACCACATGCCCTCCCCAGGGGACTGGGTGCAGCAGTCTGCACCACGTCTAGAGATAATCTCTGGGTCCTTTAGTTAACTTTTTTTGAGACAGAGTCTCACTCTGTTGCCCAGGCTAGAGTGCCGTGGTGTCAGCCTAGCTCACAGCAACCTCTAACTCCTGGGCTCAAGGGATCCTCCTGCCTCAGCCTCCCGAGTAGCTGGGACTACAGGCATGCGCCACCGTGCCCGGCTAATTTTTTCTGTATACTTTTAGTTGTCCAGCTAATTTCTTTCTATTTTTAGTAGAGACGGGGTCTCGCTCTTGCTCAGGCTGGTCTCGAACTCCTGAGCTCAAATGATCCTCCTGCCTCGGCCTCCCAGAGTGCTGGGATTATAGGCGTGGGCCGCCACGCCCAGCCTAGTTAACTTTTAAATTGAGATTATAAGAAGCATCTTTTTTGAAAAACTTGGCCTATTAGAGGAAGAAAAAGGGTTAGAACTATCAACCTGGAGAATGGTTAAATAAACTAACACAGAACTACTTGGCGTTTTAAAAATGGAGTGTAAAGCCATTATGGTTCTTTGGAACCTTGTGCTCTATGGACCAACCTCACCTGGGAGTAATGAGTCAACCTCCAGACCCTATTAAATCAGAACCTGCGGTTTAACTGAGACCCCTCGCTCCCACCCGTTGGCCTGCACATTGAGAAGCACGTCCTTAGACCTATCCCTTATTTCTCGGCTGGGGAAAGGTGGTCTGGTGCCAGACCTGAGGGTTCAAAAAGTGTAGGTGTATGTTTGGATTCTGAACAGAAGGTAGTTGACCGCTAAGGCAGCTTCTGGTAGCTTTGGTACGGGGATCTGCTGCGAGTAATGCTTACTTGAACATTTGTTCCTTGGCCATGGAGGTGTGAGATTGGGAGAAGAAAACGGGTGTGAAACTTTGAACAGATAAAAGTGTCTTTTATTAACTATTGGAAAGCAGTCTTGAAACAGGGAAGTAGGATTCCACTTTATTGTGTGTGCAGATGAGAGCTAAGGCTCAGAAGTGAAGGGAGCTAGTCCAAACTGGAAACAAGGTGCAGCATCTAATACTAGAAGAGTTGGGGGTAGTGAGTGGTATGTAGACATCCTTCTGAAAAAATCTGGCTCTGTTTATTTCAGAACATTACCAGGTACAAATGTTTAGGTTACATATATTGGCTTTGCCCCCTCCCCAGTCTGAGCTACAAGCACACCCATCCCCCAGACAGTGCGCACCACACCCATTAGGCGTGACGATACCCATCCCCTCCTCCTTCCCCGACACCCAATGAATGTTGCTACCAAGTGTGCACTTGTGTTGATCAGTTAATACCAATTTGATGGTGAGTACATGTGGTGCTTATTTTTCCATTCTTTTGATACTTCATTTAGAACAGGCTCCAGCTCCATCCAGGATAATACAAGAGGTGCTAGATCACCGTTGTTTTTTGTGGCTGAGTAGAACTCCATGGTATCCATATACCACGTTTTATTAACCCACTCATGTATTGATGGGCACTTGGGTTGTTTCCACGTCTTTGCAGTTGTGAATTGTGCTGCTGTAAACATTTGAGTGGGTGCAGACCCTGCCTGAGATTAACTCGGGTTAAGTGAACCTCTTGCTGCCACGTGCTTCCCTAACCTGCTAGAAACATGGCTCTCGGGCTGGGAAGAGTTAGTTTTAAAGGTCTGGCTGCAGCTTTTAAGCTGTACGACTCTGGGTAAATTCTGGGAACTAGCCTTGCCGAGCTTTCCATGCTTCCCGTCCATAAAACGTGTTTAGGGGAGAAACGTGGAATCCGCGGGCACAACAGCACCGTGAAGAACCAGTGCTGACCTGGGCCGTGCGTGGGCCTCCTGCGGGAGAGCGCAGGAAGGCAGGAGAGCCAGGATTCCACCAGGCAGGGGCTCTGAGCAGGGTGTCGGGCGGGGGGCACAGAAGGATGTGGCCTGGAGACTCCTGGGGGGACGTTAGTACAATGCTGCTTGTTTCTCAGGCCACGGACTCCCATGGGGGGTGGGGCGGCAAAGGAGGAAGACCTGGAGCCAGTCTCAGCGCTGCTTCTGAAATTAAAGATGGCTGCCTGGCAAGTGCTTTTCCGCGGGCGTTTCCGTCTGTCATCTAGAACTCCTAATACACACAAGCGAACTTTTGAGCTTTGGTGACAGGCTTGAGGTTACTTCCTCTGTGCCCACTAATAGGCTGACCCTTGGTGCACGTGCGTGGGGTACAGCCCAGCAGTGCTGCGGCTTCACAGCAAGCCTTCCCCGTGGGCCTTGAGTCTTGGGGACTCCACGAGGGGTGCTCTGAGGCCCCTAAGAGCAGCCTGGGGGTGAGAGCTTGGCAGGTTCCTGGGAAGCTAACAAAAGCTCGTTTTCTGCACGCAGAGAGAAAAATAAATGATTTTTATTGCAGGGCCAACAGCAGGTATTCCCAAGGGCATGAAATGGCGACTCTGGACCGAAGCAGAGAAGGCACCGGCAGGCCCTGCGTGGTTTGCAGCGCTGCGCACAAGTCAGTTTCTGAGAGTGGGGGTGGGCGTGGGAAACGTTACTAACAAGTACAGTTGCTGTAAAATAGGTTAATTCTTGGAAAAGATCAGTAGCAAAATCATAAAGTTGCATCCAAACCACAGCCAGTGACGTGGAAGTTTCGACCCAGTGGAGTGAGCCCCACACGAGGAGCGGAGGCGCTCGGCTTCCCGCGCTCCGTCTGCCAGGCCAGGAGCTCTGGCGAGGATTAGATTCCTTTGTCTTGATTCTCTTGGGCATCAAATTTCCCAAGCTCCTGGTGGTCCCCCAAGACCCAAAGAATTCGGCTCGCAAGGCTGGCTGCTGCCCCGAGGACGAGGACGAGGACAGAGGTCGACAGGCTGCGGCCCCGCGGGCAGCTGGGGCTCAGGAGGCCGTGGGCGAGCAGCGCTGCAGGAGCAGCGTGTGGCAGCCGTCACACACGCGCACCGGCCTGGGGTAGGAGGGCAGGGCCAGCTCGCTGCCGGAGCAGGCGCTGCAGAAGATGTGGCCGCAGTTGCGGCAGTGGTGCTGGGGACAGAAAGAAGGCAGTCAGAGGACCCCGGGAAGAGGGACCTGCACGCCTCCCGCTGACCCTGACATGTGAAGGCCCAGTAAATGCTTTAGCAACCCTCCCCCGAGACACCACCTCGTTTACCTGAGTGCCTTTTTTTTTTTTTAAGAGTCTGGCTCCGTCGCCCCAGCTGGAGTGTGTGGCGTAATAGCTCGCTGCAGCCCCAAACTCTCGGGCTCAAGCGACCCTCCTGCCGCCCCAGGTAGCTAGGACAGCAGGCAGGTGCCAACATGCCCCTTTAATGTTTACATTTCTTTTAGAGACCGGGTCTCACTGTGTTGCCCAATCTGGTCTCGAACTCCAAACTCCTGGGCTCAAGTGATCCTCCCACCTTGGCCTCCCAAAGTGCTAGGATTGCAGGTGTGAGCTGGCACCAAAACACGCTTTATTGTGTTTCCTAACTCAGCGAGTGGGTCGTTGGAGTTACATAAAGAGCCTGGTTCATCCCGCAGGGCAGGGGGACTCGCCCGCCTTACAAACAGGCTGCCTCGGGCCTCGTGCCCCGGCTCCTGGCGCCTGGCCAGACCCCGAGATGAGCGCAGGCGCGGCCTCTGCTCCCGGCCGCACACTGCCGGGCGCCCTCAGGCTGGGCCACGGCTGTTCGCGCTGCAGCCAGGGGTGCAGACGGGTGCTCGCGGGCAGCCTCAGGAGGGTCCACTCCTAGCTCTGAAGCCATTTGTTGCAAGGCACTGACTACGACCTTGGCTTCCTCCTTCCCGCAGACAGGCTGCTCCCGGGGGAGGATGCGACCACGGATCCACAGTGTAGCGGGTGGGGTGGCACTGGGCGTGTGACAAACATCCCCCGTTCCCTCAGCTCCCGGCTCTGCTTGTGACCTGCACCCAACTCCTCCCTTGCCCAGCTGGTTGTCTTGGTGAGACGCGAGGGCTGGCACAGGACCTGAGAGGCAGGCGACGTGGCCAGGGGCAGGTTCACCAGGGAGTTTGGGACCTGCTGTCTTGCATAGGTTCCCCATAAATTCTGTTTTTGCCTCAGTTGCCCAGT